GTCACAAGTTTTGCTATCATCAAAAAGCGGGAGTTTATGAGTGCAACTTCACTATTAGATGTTTTGCATGATGTCAAAATTCGAAAAGCTAACATTTCAGTATGGTGGACGATATCCTTATGTCTTGTGGCACTCCCTTTCATTAGAGGTATTAGGAATTATTTAAAATAACTTTAAAATTGGTCACAATCATGAAAAATTAGTTTTTTCACAAAATTAGCACTTATGTGTCGACATGAAATTTTTATGTGTCGACACATAAATTATGCATTTCTACATTTTCATAAAAGCATCAGTATGTGTCGACACATAACTTTTTTAGGTCGACACATGTACTACAATATTAAAGCTTTTAACATTTCTGCTTTAAAACACAGACACATTTGTCGACACATACGATTTTCAGGTCGACACGTGTACTGCATTTTTAAAGCCTATAGATACTGTTTTGCACGTGTCAACGGGAGGACTGTCAATGGCTAGGATTTGGCAAGCATATCTTTTTCGCGTGGAATTATTTTAACTACCTCTAACGAATCCTCATGCGATGGTGTTGAGTGTGTGGAAGACAGTCTTATCGCCTTCCTCTCGGCTCGACTCTTTTTCTAGTTGGATCAGTGACTCCCAGGGACGTCTTGCCACTGGGACTTAGATTCCCTTGAACCTCCACTAGGGCTATGCTTAACATGCTTCTTTAAGTGTCCCTCATGGATCAGGCGTTCAATCTCCTTCTTGAGCTATACATACTCCTTTGTGTGGTGCCCCTTGATCTTATGGAACTTGCACAAACTTTTAGGTTTGGGCTCCATGACGTTTGCCTACGGGGTTGGTGGTTGAAGGATGTTTTCATGTGAATAAATTCTTTCTATTTTTTCTCTCGGGGAGTGTTCAAAGGCGTAAGGTCTTCCACATGCTTTCCACTTCGCTTGAATGTTGTTCTGTATCTCATATGCGACGTGTATTGGTTTCTTCATGAGTCGTTTACATTGGGAGTGTGATATTTTGCATCGCGAGCCTTCTTTTCAGCATTTATCTTCTTTCCCTTGATGTAACATTATTCTCACATAACTATTTCAACTAAAGGCGTTGTTAGTCTTTGGATGAGAGATTCGTTGAGAGCTAGCTCACATGAGGTGAAAAGTTGTTGTATTTGTGTATTTTCTTTATGTTGTTGGTTGGTTTCCTCTGTGTTACAACCTTGATGTATTATAGTCCACATGGCCCTGAACCGAGTGTTCCTAGGAATTCGTAGCCACTCCAGGAATGAATTTTTACTTAGGGAGTGTAATTAAAGCGCACAATTCCTTATGAAATATTTGTCGACCCAATACACGTCTCACGCATGATCACACACTATGAACAAGGGCATTATATATTGAATGATGTATCTGAACAAGGGGCACTTGATCCAAAAGAGGGGAGCTCAACCTAAATAAAGGGAGACTTGGTAAAGATGAAGAGCTAAGCGTATTCCTTTCGCACCGCCTTCAAGATCTTTTTTGTGAGTGCAACTTCACTATTTGATGTTTTGCATGATGTCAAAACTTGGAAAGCTAGCATTTCAGTATGGTGGACGGTATCCTTATGTCTTGTGGCACTCCCCTGCATTAGAGGTCTTAGGAATCATTTAAAACAACTTTAAAATTGGTCACAATTATAAAAAATCAGTTTTTGCACAAAATCAACACTTATGTGTCAACCTGAAATTTGTATGTGTTGACACATAAATTCTGCATTTACGCATATTCTTAAAAGCTTCAGTATGTGTCGACACATAACTTTTTCAGTTCGACACATGTACTGCAATATTAAAGCTTTCAACATTTCTGCTTTAAAACACAGGCATATGTGTTAATACATACGATTTTCAGGTCGACACATGTACTACATTTTTAAAGCTTGTAGCTACTATTTTGCATGTGTCGACACATAACTTTTTCAGGTTCACACATACTGTTTTGTGGGTCATTTTTTCATTATTTTTTCATTCTGAAACTACCCTCTTTTACCTAAAAAGAGTCCAACTATAAATATATCATTCATGCATCATTCTAACTAGATGATACCATAAAATTAGCCTACATTTCTTCTTCTTCCTCAACTTTCCAATCTATGCATACACACCAACATTACATTGTGATGATGTTCCGTTGGGGTGCCATCTAGACGAAGAATTGTGGATTTCCATTTGGTTTGGGTTGAGATTTGTAGGGGTCTTTATCCGGGAAAAACTATCGGTTTTCTCCTCCAAAACCATTTGTTGAATTGGGGGTTTTCGTGCAAGATCGTGCGAGAAGGAATCGTTCATGTGAAAAATCCTTTGGAGTGTTTGAAATCTTTTCAAAGAACCTTAGAGTGTTTGAAATCTTTTTAAGGAAGTAGCAAAAATTGAATGATAGAATCAACGATCTTGTGTTGATAGTGTGCAATCATATTTACTCGAGTGAAAAATCCCTTGGAGTGTTTAAAATCTTTGCAAGGAACCTTGGTGTGTTTGAAATATTTTTAAGGAAGCAGCTTAAGCGGCGAATAGGTTGCATCTATCGGTCTTGGTCTTGTTAAAGATCAAAAGAAGATAAGGGGTTGAATCAACATCAAACGGTTATGGTTTGTAGTATTGCTCTTGAACACTTCTCTTGTAACCATACTTTTGCAAAGTAAGAAATTATCCAAATTCTAAATTTGAAATTGAGGGGAGATATAGCCATAGCGAGAACAATTGGTGAACTTCCTAAACAAATCTTTGTGTCTCTTTTCTTTTATTGCTTTATTTGCTTTAATCTTCATAGATTGATTTGTCAAATAACATTGAGTAATTTATCGATGCGTAGGAATTTGCTGAAACTGTTTTTGTTTTGAATTGTGTGTTGAGTTGCTTATAAGCACTTTTGGTTATAAGTGATTTTTCATATCAACACAACACAAAGGAAAATTCTGAAACTTTGATTGCATGCCAAGTATTTGACAAATTGTTTAGCTTGTTTAACTCAAAGGAAAATTGCAATATTCTATCTCTTACTTTCATTTATTCTCTATATGCAATGTGTTGAATGTGTTATTTGATCGACTGATTCATATATAATTTCTCTTTGATTATTAAAGTTTAAATTGCTTTGTTGATTAGCTTATAATCACTATTGATTGTAAGTACTTTTGCATATGAACAAATCTCAAAGAAAATTCTGAAAAATTGATTCCGCGTCACATATTCGATAAATTGTCATGTTATGTTTTTACTATGATTTCATTGGAAATAGGAAACTGTTGCGTTGAATATTAAATGATTAATTGAGATATTGTTATGTTGATTGATTTTATCATTATATTAATTTCATATGGATCGTGTATATCCGAATTTCCAATAACTAAATTTATTTAAACTAATATATTTGCTTAAGACCAAAAATATTTTGTTCAACATTATTTTTCAAATGAATTTTAAATAATCACTTTAAAAAATAGTTCTTATTTGAGAATTTATTCATTCCTATAAATCCAGTGCCGTAATATAACATTTTCTAATTATAGCAATACACCATACACACACTCCACTAAGCATCGACTAATGAGTTCTTGGTTTGAAGTAAAAATACAAGGAATGTGAAGAAGGTTATTGAGATAAAAATAATTTGCATCTAAGTCAGTTTGAGAAATATATTTGGAATGTGATTTTAAGAGATTAAAATATAAGAAAACATGGTCACGTTCTCTGACGGTTAATAGTTGAGTTTAGAATTAACTTCTGAAATCTTAATCCAAAATCTCTAAATTTTTTCAAAAATTTCCAAAATTTCATATTTTTCTTAATATCAAAATTTTCAAAATCTCAAAATCTTCTTGAAACTTAATTTCTCTAAATATTAAAATCTCATATTTCTTACATTAAACATGTATATAGTTATATATTTTTAATTTTATTATTTTCTATACATGTTAAATATATCAATTTTATTAAATACATAACTATTAAACTTATTTTAATATAAATATTTGTTAATTATTTAATTGAATAATATAGTTCATGAATTTTTTTAATGTTATTAAAATTTTAAAATTTCATGATAAATTATAAATAATATATTATTTTTATTAGAAATGCATGTAAGCAAATATAGATATGTAAACTCGAATATCTATAGAGTATGAATTCTAATACAATAATTTTTTTCAAACTTAAAAATAAAGGTGGATATTATAGTACTGTATCCAAATCATGTTTATTATATCTCTAATGACTATGTAAAGATATTAAATGTAGGATCGCGAATTCAAATGAATAATATTTCATTTATTCATTATTAAAAGGTGAATTAGTTTTTACCAAAAAAAAAAGAAAAAGTGCATTAGCCACTAAAAGGTGAATTAGTTTTTACCAAAAAAAAAAAGAAAAAGTGCATTAGCCACTAGACTATTTGAAGGAAAAAGAATGCTATTTTTTTTTATGATATTAATAACTAATGATACTAGTATCAAATTTTATCATTGATAAAAATACTAAAACACATGAAACCTTTTATTTAAAAAAAAAAAAGATAGTCAACAAAGATTTATTGTTTTTTATAAATCACTTCAGAAGGAAAGATATTTTAATAAGTCAAGAAAAAAAAGAAAAAAAATAGTAGTAATGATTTAGTATATGATATAGTTCATAGTTGATACACATTGTTCCAATTCTCAACCGCATAACCCCTTCTCCACCCATCCAATCCAATTTGGTTTCTTTTTCATCTCTCAATTCTCAAAAACCCCATCTTTTCCAAAATCAACGCACTTTCCTTCCGATTGATGGGCCATAACCTTGTTGTTCTTCTTCCATGGCAATGCAAATCTCTTTCTCTCTTCCCCTTTTTCTAAACTTCATCCTCCACAGACCACCCATTAACGCCCTTGATCTTCTCCTCATCTTTTTTCACACTCTTTTATAGCCATCAATTCATTTTTCTCTCACCCCCTCAATCTTTTTCTCTTTTTTGTGAATTCCATTACCCTTTTGAGTTTTAATGGCCTCGGTGTTGGTTTATCATGTGGTGGGAGATCTGACGGTGGGGAAGCCGGAGTTGGTTGAGTTTCATGTAACGGAGACGGTGGAGTCTGCGATTAGAGCGATTGCGGAATCGCCGGAAGGGAGTATTCCGGTCTGGAAGAAGAGATCTGTTGGGGTGATTGAGAATAGTGATATGAGACAGATGAGGTTTGTTGGGATTCTTAGTTCGTTTGATATTGTTGCGTTCTTGGCTAAGACTCACTGTTTGGAGGATCAAGATAAGGCTATGAAGACACCGGTTTCTGAGGTTGTTCTTTCCAATAATTCTTTGCTTAGATTGGTTGATCCTGGAACAAGGTAACCATCTTTTCAACACAACTTCAATTTTAGTATATCATTTACTTAGAGTAGATTATGGTGGCCTAAAAGCCTTCAATCTGTGGCTACCGTTCCCATTTTTAGGAACAAAGGTGAAACATTTCTATGTAAATAAATGAATGTATTCTTGTATTTATCAGATATTGCTATAAAACCAAAATAAGATAAATATCCTCTGCAAACGTGTGAACGTGATCACTCTTCTTATCACTCTTCTTTGTCATTCCATAGAAACTAGACAGCCATGTATCATGAAGCTTGTTTTCAAATGCTTTTGGTAATCACTTCAAAATTTAGAAAAACTATTTCTTGTTTGATTAGTTTTTGAAACTAATCCAGTGAAAATTTGCCATTTGATATAAAGTTAATTAGAAAAATATAGACAAAAAGCTAGATTGTATTGAAGTGTTTCACAACTAGTTTTAATTTGAATAGACAGTCTTTTATTTTGCCAAACACGCAGTTAATATCTTTAATTTTTCCTTTGATTAAGGGTGATAGATGCACTGGACATGATGAAGCAAGGCGTTAAACGTTTGCTTGTTCCAAAGAGTATAGTATGGAAGGGCATGAGTAAGCGTTTCTCGGTAATCTACTATGGCAAGTGGCCTAAGACTCCTGAATCTCCTAGCAGCAGCAGCAACAATCTACCTGCGAATGTAAACCGGAACGCCTCAGCATTCATCCGTGATAAGTACTGTTGTCTATCCAGAGAAGACGTACTCCGTTTCATCATCGGTTGTCTTGGAGCTCTAGCTCCTATTCCTCTCACTTCCATCGCTGCACTCGGAGCAATTAATCCAAACTACAGCTACATTGAATCCTCCACTCCCGCACTCGAATCATCTCAAAAGGTTCCTCAAGACCCAAGTGCAGTTGCAGTAATAGAAACCACGTCAGACGGTCAGTGTAAGATCATTGGAGAAATTTCTGCAATCAAATTATGGAAATGTGATTACATATCCGCCGCATGGGCTTTAGCAAATCTCACGGCAGGACAGTTTGTTATGGGAGTTGAAGATAACGTCACCTCAAGATCACTGCCTGACTTCTGTGTCAATTCAAGATCCGGAGGAGATAATGATTTGGTTAATGGTGGTTCGAGAAAACCAAAGAAATTCAGTAGCAGGAGTATCGGATTCTTCAACAAATCTGCAAGCCATAGTTTTGGTTCGAGGAGCATGTATCGAGGTAGAAGTGCACCGTTGACATGTAAAATGACTAGTTCATTGGCTGCTGTCATGGCTCAGGTGCTATCTCATAGAGCAACTCATGTTTGGGTGACTGAGGACGAGAATGAAGAGATTTTAGTTGGTGTCGTTGGATATGCTGATATATTAGGTGCTGTGACCAAACCACCTACAATATTTCCTCCTGCTAATAAATCCTCAGAAGGGAGTGTACATGAAATTCAGTGTTGATTGTTGAGCTTTGTTTTTGCTTTAAACTTCTTTCATTATAGTACTTTTAGTAGTTTGTTGTTACTTTGGTGCTAAGCCATATCACATTATCCATTCAGAGTTAAAAGGGTTTTGATGTTTGTGTTTGCGTACTAGTTTGTATTATTTGATAATGATAATAAAATGGAATAAACGGATGTTTAGATTGATTTATTTGAGCTTATCTTCTGATATAAGTACTCTCGTACTAGTGAAAATATTTATCTGAGTTTATGACATGTCTTTAGATTTGTTTTTTCTCCATTATTATTAGTTACCTGTCCATACAAATGTTCCTAGCAGGTTGAAAGGGATTAGTTGATGCAATGGTCCTGACATTTCAATATTTCCACACAATTTTGGCAGCATACATTATTGACAAAAGTACCTAATTGCATACCATGTTGTAGAACGTGGTCCACCAACCTCTAGATATCTCTTTTTCAAGAGGTTCGGGCTGCTACACTTTTGGCCAATCATAGAGATTAGTATATTAATTTCTCCATCTGGGCCTACTCAAATCATAAACAAATCTACTCATCGTGTCATTGCAAAATCGGTAGAATAGACAAAAAGAAAATTACTCATGATGATTAAAAAATATATTTTGTTCAAAATCATGTTAATAATTAGAAGAAATACATATATTTAATAAAATAGTGTCGTGATGGGTAATTATCTAAAATTATTTTATGTATTTAGGATGCTGGTCAAGATTGATTATGACTACATATTTTGTGTCCACATTGTATGTAACATTTTGGATTCCATTTCAATCACTCAAATGACATTTTTAATATAATATAATAAGTCGGATTCTGATTATGATGAAAATTTAATTTGATTTAATGTGTATATATCTAGATAGTTCTAAAAAGAAAAGAGGAATAGCCAAGTCAACCATGTGATAAGCATTTTGGCTTAATCTCTGAATGATCTAACGTGTGATCGCAAGAGAAGTAGTAGAGTTGTAAACGTTTGAGAATTGATTAAATGCAAATGTTGACTGAGATGATAGAGTGGTGAGGAAACAATTCCGTTTCGAAAGTGCTTGGTTATAAGAAGAATTTCAAACAAATGCTAAGTGGAAACAACGTACTACTACACAAGCTTAAGATGTGTAGAGAGGTATAGAGTAATGATGCAAACAAATTAGGATATGTTGTAGAGGCAGAGAGCCAGGTTCATTGGATGAAGGATGGTGAGATACAAATTCAATTTTTTTAATCCAATGGCAAGTTCAAGAAATAAGAGAAGTTACATATAGAGGATGGTAGCATGACTGAGATCCAAGGAGTAGAGACCAATATAGTTCTTATTTCTAAAAAGGACAACCCAGTCTCTCTGAGGTTTTCATCTGTTTTCACTATGTAATATCCTTTATAAAATTAATTCAAAGGTTTTGACCAATAGAATAAAAGTCTAGTTACCGTATTGCTTTCTCAAAAACAATATACATTTGTCGAAATCGTTTGATTCTTCGTAAAATTTGAATCATATAAAATTTGAATCATATGAAACGTAAGAATAGAGATAAATGTTAGATTTGAATTCTCTTCTCATGTGGAGAGTGAGAGGAGGAGAGAGAGAGAAAAGAAGACATACAAATCGGCGATTCCGAATTCGTTAGTCGTTGGATTGAGGCAGTGTAAGTTTTAAGTCTGTGCAAATTGACTCGTCGCACAGGACCTCCGAATAATCGGGGTCTCGATTTTTAGGTTTTAGGGTTTGAAAAGTATAAACTTGAATTACATATACATATATTATGTTTAGAATGTATTTTAAACAATTGCAGCAACGCAGCGGCCAGGCAACTCTGTATGAAGCGCATCGAATTTCATCTGAAAGAATAAAATCTACTCTATCAAGCAAGAAACATTATCATTATCACAAAATTTTGGAATCTATAATAGAATAAAGTTGTAGAGAAGAAAAATAGTTAATAATCAAATAATGAAATTAACATGTGATATTATAATACATTAGTTAAATTCTCTACAATTTATAATTGTAATACAAATTCAACATCCCTATACGTGAAAAATAGAGTGCAATTAAGAAAAGTTGGAGAACATGGATGATGAATGTTAATGTTTGTTTTTGGTTTAGTTAATATGTTATGCTATAAAGAGACTCGGATGATTTTTATATATCAGTTATTGAAATTATGAAATTAAAATTATATTAAATGAGTTTTTTTAAGTGAAACGAGGAAATTGAAACTACTATACTAAATTAATTTTTATGAAATATTAATGTTGAATTGGGGGAACATAATGAATTTATCTTATACTACTATAGTATAGGTGCAACATCAAAATTATAATAAACTCTTTTTATTTTATTTGATATACCAACTTCAAATAATAAAAAAATTAAAAGAATTAGGATTTTGTCAAGAGTTGTTATCATGAAAAATTAGTCAAAATATTTTCAAAATATACATTAAAAAGAATTATATTTTCAAAAGGGTTAAATATATTTTTGATTCTAATAAATATCTCAATTTTTCCTTTTAGTCCCTATAAAAAAAGTCGACTTTTAAATCCTATAAAATTACTTTTGCGTGCAGTTTTTTTTATAGAGACTAAAAGCCATTTTTAATAATTTTATAGGGACTAAAAACATATTTAACCCTTTTCAAAATAACTAACAGTAATAAAAAAAATACAAAATATTTATATTTTATAAATTTGAGAAAATATCACTATTTAATTATTATTAATATTTATTTATTTAGAAATTAAAAGGTCATGCTTTTTTTGAGAAAAAAAATTAAATTTTGAAAAGAGACAATTGTATTGACTCTAATCAATTTTTAGAACTAATTAGTTATATAAAATGAAAAATTATTCAAAATATTTTCAATATTATTTTTTATTAGTCAAAAATAGTTATATATTTTCAATTTATTTGATATATATACAACAACAAGATAATAAATTATAATAGTGTTAATTGAATATATTATTATTATTATTATTATTATTATTATTATTATTATTATTATTATTATTATTATTATTATTATTATTATTATTATTATTATTATTATTATTATTATTATTATTATTATCTAGATATTATATTATTATTAATAGTGGTTTATTATTATTATTATTATTATTATTATTATTATTATTATTATTATTATTATTATTATTATTATTATTATTATTATTATTATTATTATTATTATTATTATCTATTTTAATATAGGTTTATATAATTAGGGTTTATATTTAGAATTGTTACTAAAATGATGACATGTATTATTATTTGGGAATTAAAGATTTTTTTAATAAAAAAATGAGAATTAGGATAATAAGATATAATAGTGTTAATTGAGTATATTATTATTATTATTATTGATCTTGCAGGTTGATCAGAATCTGCTAGTAGGTCGACGAATGATTTCTGGTTCGCTGGAAAGTTGAGGAGAAAAGGGGGTTGTACCTCTAAGACACTCCAATGATCTAGTAAGAATGAGAGCAAAGAGATACAAGAAAAATATTAGGATTTAAGGTTTGAAATTGGATCCCTGGCTCTCATAAGTGTGAGAGTTTATATAGTTCCCCCAGCGCGTAGTCATTGATATTTATTTTTGGGCCTAGATATGTGGATCCGCAAAAATAGGTAACTTTCAAGACTGAGTCAAAACGGGCAATCGTGCTTGTAACTAGCCGTTTCATCGAGCAAGGTCGAGATGACGGACATAAGCGTTCATGAGCGTTTCCTGGGCATCTTCTCTTCGTGTGTCGAGCAAACTGAGAGATAGTTTCCCGCATGGACAGGCGTGCATTTCGGTCATTGTTGGTCGCACCGTTCGAGGGCGTGGTCGACCGTAATGCTGGGCTGACATTATTATGTCGTGCCAAAGGTGGAATCGGATTGGGCCAATTCTAGTCATTGGGCCAGTCCAGAACAGTAGCCCCGTAAGTCGTTGCTTTTGAGTAGAGGAGTGGTGACTTAGATGTGCTCGTGAAACGGAGGTGTTCCTCGGTCGATTTCACATGAGGAGTATAAGTGATGCTCACCAAGTTCACCTCGAGGGAAGAGGAACTGTTGAGCGGCTCCGAGGAGTTATCGTGTTTTAAGGGGCAATTTCACGCGAGGAGTCTGAAAATTGCTCGGTGTGTTCGTCTCCCAGGGAGAGGAACAACTAGTTGAAATCTAGGGAGTTTGCGTGCCACATTTGCACCGAGCCATGTGCTATCATAAAGGCGTGATGATGAGTAGCCTATGGACTATGGCGTAATGATGATGCCTTTTAGGGTTCCTTAGGAGCATGATCGCTCATGTGCCTGCAGGCTATTCTATAAAAGGCGGAGAAGAAACTTCATTTTCACTTTTTCGTTTGCTCTCCTTTTGCTTAACACTGCTCATTCCTGCTCGACACAGCTGCTCCTTGAAGCATTTCTTCCATTATGCCGTTCGTCGCCATTTTCTTTGCCGATAATTTGGTAAGTTTCTTTGTTTTTCCTTATTTCTGTTGAATTTTTTTATGTTGTAGACTAGGTTTTGCGCCTCTTCTTTTTAGAAATGCATGAGTTTTAAGGCTTAGAGCAACTTGGTGTGAGAATTCTTGGTGGAATGTGGTTGCAGACGGTGGTTCTGTCACCCGAGGGTGGTAGTTCCTCCGCGTGTCTTGTAGGGATGATTAGAACGTAGTGTAGATGATATCAGTTTGTGATGAACTCTCTGGGGATATTGGGGCTGTTTCTGGGTTCATGCTATGGTCATTGTGAGGGACGATGAATCTCCAAGATCAGCCCCAGCCCAACAATGTTAGGGAGATAGTTGCTCGGGGGATCCCGTTCTTGCTTGGCGCGGGTTTTCCCGACAAGAGAGACTCAGTGTTTTGCTGTTTGAGTGAGGGCTCTGGTCGGGGATAGGGTCCTTGTTCCTTTGTGCCCTTTCACTTGATTAACAGTGGAAGGTTTGATTTGATTCTGATTTCGAATTCACTTTTATCCTATGCT